TTTTTACCTTTCATTACTGCACCCCTCTTGTCTATGTTTTCTCCCCATTTATATTGCTCTATGTAGCTCTCTTAAACTGCTATCCTGAGATTTTGCATTTCCACTAATCACCCACAATGGGGTACAATGCTCCAACAGTCATATTGGAAACCAAAGCTGCATTCTAATCCTAATTGTAATTAATATAGTCATTATATGTATCTTCTTTGTATGCGGATTGACACGAAGCTAAGATGGAGATGCCCAGTTACAGGATACAGAGGTGTAGACTTCTATATTTAAATTTTCACACCTCACAAATATATATTTGTTAAATACAAAAGTAGAATTTGTTTTGCCTCTTTCTGTGAAACTTTTTTGGGCCTCATTTCTAACAATGGGGTGGACCCTCATCCAAATGTCAGTGGGCACACTTTGTAAATACAGGGATAGATGAAGAAGATATTACAAATCTGGGGTAGTGACCGGTCCTCTTTAAGCATGTGTAGAAAAAAGTGGGCAGACTAAATTAGCCGATTGATATTACCCTCTAATCATAATATATGTTTGTACGTTTACTACCTCTCTCTAAGCTATCGATGTTCTGTGTGTAGAGGCGCAGGAGTACCCGCTTATCATTCAGGAGACGCAGGAAATGATGCGCTGTGTTAGGTAGGTGGCGGCCTGGAAGAAGATCTTTAGAAAGATCTAAGAAAGCATGTGGCTCCCTTAAGAAGTATCCCAAGTCAAAAATAGCTTCAGGGTACGGAAGGGAGTATTGCTGTAGCTTACTGTACAAACCGCTAGTGGGAGACCTGCAAGAAAAAAAGGAGACAAAATAAAAGGATGAAAAATTTATTTAAAAAAATAAAGAGCTAGATTATTTGAGCAGGACTCTCTCCATCTCTTGTGTCCGTCAACTACTTGCTGAACCAACCTTTGAAATGAGTTGGACTCCATATAAACTTCTAGAGCTAGTAGAAATGAGCATGTCACTATTCTATAACGTAGTGGGGATATACAAACAATAGAAGAGTGTATAACGCTGTACTATGGCTGCACACAAGATGGAGATGGCCCATTTTCCAGCACGAGAGTATACACAATGTCACCTGAAGTCTGGGATGCCACTGTCCGTACTGATACCAGCTCCCACCATAACCAGGATACGCCGGTAAGTGCCTTCCTTGATTCCAAAGGCTACATCCTCCAGTGTTAGGAATGTGTTATTGTCATTTCCTCCTCTGCCAGGAAATCCCGAGCTCCAGCATTTCACCGGACTACAATATAAATCAAACAACACAAGTGAGGCCTTGTAATGATTCATCGAAATATGCAATAAAAGGATTATAGATTCCATTATGTTAAAGGGACACTCCAAACACTGAGGCACTCAGGAGCTGGGTTACTGTAATAAGGAGTTACAGGGTCAGTGATAGAGCAATAAGGCACTCAGGAGCTGGGTTACTGTAATAAGGAGTTACAGGGTCAGTGATAGAGCAATAAGGCACTCAGGAGCTGGGTTACTGTAATAAGGAGTTACAGGGTAAGTGATAGAGCAATAAGGCACTCAGGAGCTGGGTTACTGTAATAAGGTGTTACAGGGTCAGTGACAGAACAATAAGGCACTCAGGAGCTGGGTTACTGTAATAAGGAGTTACAGGGTCAGTGACAGAGCAATAAGGCACTCAGGAGCTGGGTTACTGTAATAAGGAGTTACATGGTCAGTGATAGAGCAATAAGGCACTCAGGAGCTGGACACCCAGAGGGGCTTGGGGGACACAAAGAGACACATCGGGGCTGGGGACTAAAATCTACTGGGGGTTTAGTCGACTAAAACAATTCAGATAACTAAAATAAGACTAAAGCAGACTTGAAATTTGCAGCCAAAATTAACACTGTTGAGCATTCATGGGATGCTGTACATTAAGAAGCTGCAGAATATAATATGTACCTTTTGTGCAAAAATCTGCATTTGTTTGGACGCAGGGTTGCAAATGCTACTTTTTCATAGGGATCAGTCAGACCAACTGCATGCACCCCTCTCACTGTAAGAGAAAGAGGGAATTTATAAGCACACGCAGAAAGCAGAATCTGGAGTTCTGGAAAACAAATGTGTAATAGAACGTTTCTAGCAATGAAAGGGTTAATATTGCTGCTCTAACCTCCAATTATGCCAATATTGGTAATGGTGTCAGGCCTCAGACTTCTCCATTGTTAGTAAGAAAAGGGTGAAGGCAATTAATAATTCTATTAAATAGAAATGAATACATTATAAAATTAAGTAACTATGTAGATAAAAAGTGTACTTTCAGCATTGAAACAAGCTTGGATGCCATTCCCGAAATGTTACTTCCGAGAAATCATTACGGCTATTTTATCCACTATGGACCAGAGAGGTGGGAGAAAATAACCCACAAATCAGAATTATCCAGAAAACCTGGACTTGGATATTAACCAGCGAACGGACAGCGTCTGCCAGAATAATGAAATATGAAAGCATCTCAACCTCGGCTATGTACAAATCCCTGATTATCTCAGAAAATTTTCTTTTTTTTTTTTTTAAATGAGAAACTTGTACTATTTGCAAGTCTGTAACAGGCGGGTGTTAATGTGGGAATAATACAGGGCGGCTTTGTAACCATGACGACGATGCCGGTCCAAACAATGAATATTACCTGCCACAAATCGTGCAGTTCGAGCCACCAACATTATCTGTCTGAAACAGTGGCCACTGGAGACCAAGGGCAATGCCTTCACTGTGCACCTATTCATGCATGAGCAGAGCGCTAAACACAAGAGGGACAAAGCCTTGTGTTATGTCTCCACTATGGAGCCATTTTCCTGGAGGTACTAACACTAAATCCCAATATTTCAAATGGAGAAAGAGGGACCCTGTCATTTTAGGGGTGTGAGTGGGGGTGTGGCCAGGGGCGGGGCTAGTCTGAGACATTGTATATGATTTACTAAAAACAATTTATAGAAATAAAATGTAATTTACAACACAATGTATCTTATTTACACAGACTGATTTCTAAACACATTCATTCTAGTTTAAAGACACATTACTGGGAGTATTATTGCTGTGGAGCTCTGTTATACACTCAGACACATTACTGGGAGTATTATTGCTGTGGAGCTCTGTTATACACTCAGACACATTACTGGGAGTATTATTGCTGTGGAGCTCTGTTATACACTCAGACACATTACTGGGAGTATTATTACAGTGGAGCTCTGTTATACACTCAGACACATTACTGGGAGTATTATTGCTGTGGAGCTCTGTTATACACTCAGACACATTACTGGGAGTATTATTGCTGTGGGGCTCTGTTATACACAGTCAGACACATTACTGGTAGTATTATTACTGTGGAGCTCTGTTATACACTCAGACACATTACTGTGAGTATTATTGCTGTGGGGCTCTGTTATACACTCAGACACATTACTGGGAGTATTATTGCTTGGGAGCTCTGTTATACACTCAGACACATTACTGGGAATATTATTGCTGTGGAGCTCTGTTATACACTCAGACACATTACTGGGAGTATTATTGCTGTGGAGCTCTGTTATACACACATACACATTACTGGGAGTATTATTGCTGTGGAGCTCTGTTATACATTCAGACCCATTACTGGGAGTATTATTGCTGTGGAGCTCTGTTATACACTCAGACACATTACTGGGAGTATTATTGCTGTGGGAGCTCTGGTTATACACTCAGACACACATTACTGTGGGAGTAATATTGCTGTGGAGTCGTTGCCACTCAGACACACATTGGGAGTAGTATTGCTGAGCTCTGTTATACACTCAGACACACATTGTATATTATTGTGGAGCTCTGTTATACACTCAGACACATTACTGGGAGTATTATTGCTGTGGAGCTCTGTTATACACTCAGACACATTACTGGGAGTATTATTGCTGTGGAGCTCTGTTATACACTCTGGCACATTACTGGGAGCTCTGTAGACACATTACTGGGAGTATTATTGCTGTGGAGCTCTGTTATACACTCAGACACATTACTGGGAGTATTACTGGTGTGGAACTCTGTTATACACTCAGACACATTACTGGGAGTATATTGCTGTGGAGCTCTGTGATACACTCAGACACATTACTGGGAGTATTATTGCCGTGGAGCCTGTGTTATACACTCAGACACATTATTACTGGGGAGTAGTATTGCCGTGGAGCTCTGTTATACGCTCAGACACATTACTGGGAGTATTATTGCTGTGGAGCTCTGTTATACACTCAGACACATTACTGGGAGTATTATTGCTGTGGGTCTGTGTTATACACTCAGACACATTACTGGGAGTATTATTGCTGTGGGGCTGTGTTATACTCTCAGACACATTGCTGAGAGTATTATTGCTGTGGAGCTCTGTTATACACTCAGACACATTACTGGGAGTATTATTGCTGTGGAGCTCCGTTATACACTCAGACACATTACTGGGAGTATTATTGCTGTGGAGCTCTGTTATACACTCAGACACATTACTGGGAGTATTATCGCTGTGGAGCTCTGTTATACACTCAGACACATTACTGGGAGTATTATTGCTGTGGAGCTCTGTTATACACTCAGACACATTACTGTGAGTATTATTGCTGTGGAGCTTTGTTATACACTCAGACACATTACTGGGAGTATTATTGATGTGGAGCTCTGTTATACACTCAGACACATTACTGGGAGTATTATTGCTGTGGAGCTCTGTTATACACTCAGACACATTACTGTGGGGCTCTGTTATACACTCAGGCACATTACTGGGAGGTTTATTACCATGGAGCTCTGTTATACACATTACTGGGAGTATTATTGCTGTGGAGTTCTGTTATACACTCAGGCACATTACTGGGAGTATTATTGCTGTGGAGCTCTGTTATACACATTACTGGGAGTATTATTGCTGTGGAGCTCTGTTATACACTCAGACACATTACTGGGAGTATTATTGCTGTGGAGCTCTGTTATACACTCAGACACATTACTGGGAGTATTATTGCTGTGGAGCTCTGTTATACACCCAGACACATTACTGGGAGTATTATTGCTGTGGAGCTCTGTTATACACTCAGACACATTACTGGGAGTATTATTGCCGTGGAGCTCTGTTATACACTCAGACACATTACTGGGAGTAGTATTGCCGTGGAGCTCTGTTATACTCTCAGACACATTACTGGGAGTATTATTGCTGTGGAGCTCTGTTATACACTCAGACACATTACTGGGAGTATTATTGCTGTGGAGCTCTGTTATACTCTCAGACACATTACTGGGAGTATTATTGCTGTGGAGCTCTGTTATACTTCTGTGACACACATTGGGAGTATTATTGGCTGTGGAGCTCTTGTTATACATCAGACACACATTACTGTGAGTATTATTGCTGTGGGAGCTCTGTTATACACTCAGACACATTACTGGGAGTAGTATTGCTTGTTTGCTATACACTCAGACATGGCTGGCTGGGAGTATATTGCTGTGGAGCTCTGTTATACACTCAGACACATACTGTGGGGCTCTGTTATACACTCAGGCACATTACTGGGAGGTTTATTACCATGGAGCTCTGTTATACACATTACTGGGAGTATTATTGCTGTGGAGTTCTGTTATACACTCAGGCACATTACTGGGAGTATTATTGCTGTGGAGCTCTGTTATACACATTACTGGGTGTATTATTGCTGTGGAGCTCTGTTATACAC